TGGGAGGTAATTGGCAGCAGGCGGTCTCTCAAGTACCCAGGTCCAATACCATGAAGGGATTTATTAGTGACGACTAGCACCTTGAAGGGTATCCGGAGACCAATCGGTAGCCAGTGCAGCTCGCGGAGGATAGGTGTAACGTGTGTGTACCGAGGTGCACCCACAATCGCTCGCGCGGCTGCATTTTGGATGAGCTGAAGTCTCCGAATGCTCTTCAAGGGCTGCCCCTTGAAGACAATAAGCTGCAGTAGTGATATCATTTCACTCATCTCTCCTCTCCAATATCCCAAAATAATTCCTTGTCCTGTATCCAATTCACAAATAAGACCTGCTGTTACTCACTTTTTACCCATTATCAGACAATTGATCACAACCCTATGTTTTCTGGCCCAGTCTTTATTTTTTCGCTATGTGAGATCTTAAAGCAACATCTTCTAGAATATTGTATCTTGTAGGATGATCTATTACTATTACCATAATAATAGTTAAAAAAGTTTCTTGATTATTTATTATAGGTAGATAAGACATATGAGATAAGACACTTTGGTCCAGTGTCATATGACAGTTTGGTCCAATGGTTAAGACACCAGGCAACACATCAGGGTTTTCATTCCACCTTAGGTATGAAAAATGGTAGGTAACTTTGAGCCGATCACTATCTCTTAGCCCAACCTCGTCACAGGGTGGTTGTTGGGAAAATAGGAGCAGGAAAGAGAATTAGATATGCTTATCTCTTTGAGTTATTCGTAAAAATAATAAAGATGTAATATGTTGTGGTATATTTAAGGGTTGTAGTCTGCTAAAATGTGCATTCACTTTCTGTGAATGTCCCGTATTATGTTGCATATCCTAAAGAGTTTTACATATTAAAAAGGCTATCCTGACAACAAGTATATTTTCCACTTATGGTGTGGCATAACCCTATGTCCCCTTAGGTGGTTGAATGTTGACTGTAAAATAGCACCATATGGTTGCAATGTAGCACAGGTTTTCATAAGAAAGAAGTTCTAATGAACTCAGTATAATTCAATGTTATGTAAACATGCATAGGGCTTTACGGTAAGAGATACATTTCTTTTTGTAGGCTAGAGTTCACTTGCTTAGATATAAGAAGCATTGTTCCAGTTGGCAGTAGATAGAAGAAAATGGGACCATGCGGCAAAAAGGACAGCTTGTGACAATTTAATACAAGACTTAACATCAAGCAGTGGGATTCAATTTTTGCTTGGTTAATAAACAACTGAAGCGGAATAGGAAATGTCTTTTCAGTGTAATGCAGGCTCACTAGTTGTTTTGATTCTCCAGTTTTCATTTTGGCTGGTTTTTCAGAGAAACCCATATCAAGTAATTAGGCAGAAGGGATTATTATTATTGGTTCTAGTGGAATTTTCATGGTTTTTAATGATGCGAGCTTGACAAAGATAGAGCCCAAGATATTTCGCGAGAAGAATCCTCTTGCTCTTCTGCTCGCAACAGAATACCTTATACCACCAGACTTCAAATTTTAGACTTAGACAACTTACAACTAAGCCACCTACAGTCTGACCTAAGCGTACTACATAAAATTATCTGCTACAATGTCCTGTCAATGACTACTTCAGCTTCAACCACAACAATACACAAGCACCAGTGGTGGGTTGCTTATCCCATTCCACTGGTTTGGTTGGAACGGGGCCGGCGGCGTCCTCGTGCACGCGCGCAGTTCACGCATGCATCGTAGCACCTGCGCGATGCTCCAGCTGCTCACGGAGAATCACTCAGGGTCTGTATGTACCATCCAGCTGCTCGCAGAGAATCGCACAGGCGCTGTATGTGCCATGCGCCTGCGTGGAAGTGCAGAAGCCTTCAAAGAGCGGTAAGAAGCGTGGGCGGGTGAGCGGGTGGGCCCTTCGCCATTCCCGGAAGTTACTTACTTCCGGGTTCGCTGACCAACCGGTTCGCGGGGACTGTCGTGAACTGGTTGAAACCCACCCCTGACGAGCACACAATAGATACAAACTCAAGGTAAACTGCTCTAAACTGGATTGCAGAAAATATGACTTCAGCAATAGAGTGGTCAATTCCTGGAATGCACTATCTGACTCTCACCCCATTCCTAAGAGGTCTGTAAGGGGCATGCATAAGTGCACCAACGTGCCTACCATCCCTGTCCTAATGTTCCTTTTTATTCGTATCCATTTCAT